TTGAGGCCATTTACGGTGACCTCCCTCTTCTCCCCTCTTCTTCATCTCCTATCATTCAGATGCTTTCTGCCACTCTCTCATAATGAAGTGACCGTACTTCTTACCCCTCTACTTGTTCAAGTGATCTCATTCCGTCCTGTCTCCTCCAACAGACTGCTCCCTCTGTCATCTTCATTCTCACTTTCTCCCTCTACTGGAGCCTTTCCTAATGCCTACAAATATGCTCGTGTCTCTCTTATCTTAAAAAAACCCCTCACTTCATTCTTCCATCTCTGCTATCTTCCTATTTCTTTTCTGCCTTTTGTAGCTACACTGCTCAAAAAGGCAGTCTACAATTGTTGTTCTCTCCTCTCGTTCTCTTCTTAACTCCTTACAATCTGGCTTCTGACCTTATCGTTCCACCAAAACTGCTATCTCCAAAGTTACTGATGGTCTCATAGTTGCCAAATCCAATGACCTTTTCTCAATTGTCATTCTTTTCTCTGCAACCTTAGACATTGTTATCACTCTCCTCCTTGATACTTTCTTCCCTCTAGGTTTTCAGGACACCATTCTCTCCAGGTTTTCCTCCTACCTATCTGATCACTCCTTCTGTCTCCTTTGCTGGATCCTCCTTCACATTATGCCCTCTAACCATAGGTGTCCTTCAGGATTCTGTCTTGGGTCCTCTTCTCTTTCTATACTACCTTATCAGTTCCCATGGATTTAATTACCATCTCTATGCTGATGATTTTTTTTTTTTGCTTTTTGGTGAGGCAATCTGGGTTAAGTGACTTGCCCAGGGTTACACAGCTAGTAAACGTCAAGTGTCTGAGGTCAGATTTGAACTCACGTCTTCCTGACTCCAAGGCCAGAGCTCTATCCACTGCCAGTTAGCTGACCCGCTGACGATTCTTAAATCTACCCTTTCTGCTCAAATCGCTCTGTTCTTCTTTAGTCTTGCATCTTTCAGACATCTTGAATTGGATGTGCAGTAAACATCTTAAATTCAATATCCAAACAGAACTCAGTTATCTTTCCCCCAACCCTCCCTCTGTGCCCCAATTCCCTGTTACTGTAGGGCAACAACATCCTCCCAGTCTCTCAGGTTCAGAACCCTTCCCTCTCACCCCTATATCCAAGCTGTTGCCAAGGCCTATCGATTTTGCCTTTGCAACATCCGAATATGCCACTTTTGCTCTTTTGATTTGCCCTAACTCCAGTGTGGGCGCTCACGCCTGGACTATTGCCATAGGCTGCTAGTGGGTCTGCCTGTTTCAAATCTTTCCTCACTCCAATCCATCCTCCATTCAGCCACTAGTGATTTTCCTAAAGTGAATTACAAAAAAACATATATCCTTGTCTTTCTCACTCATCGTGTCCCCCCCCCCAAACTTCAGTGGCTCCAGGACTAAAAATAAAACCATCTGTTTGGTTTCAAAGCCCTTCATAACCTGGCCCCCTTCCACCTTTCTAGTCTTCTTATACCTTACCACCACCACATACTCTTTACTCCAGTGACACTGGCTTCCTTGCTGTTCCTTGCATCAGATACTCCATCTCCAGACTCCAGGCATTTTCTCTGGCTGTCCCCCCATGCCTGGAATTCCCTTCTTCGTTTCTCCTTTCTGGCTTCCCTGGCTTTCTTCAAATCCCAGCTAAATCCCACCTTCTACAGGAAACCTTTCCCAATCCTTAATTCTAGTCCCCTCTCTGTATTATTTCCTATTTATCCTATATGTAGCTTGTTTGTACACAGTTGTTCACATGCTGTTTTCCCCATTAGATTGTAAGCTACTTGAGGGCAGGAACTCTTGCTTTTAAGTGTCCCAGTGCTTAGTATAGTGCCTGACGTATACTAGGTGCTTAATAAATGTTAGTTGACTTGCTGATTTTGTTCATAGAAGAGGCTACAAGATTTGACCTAGAAGCTGGGGAGACCAGAAGGCTGTAGATGACACTAGGACAGTATTTAAAACACTGAGTTCAGAAAATTTCTAATCTTGGGAACTGGATTATCAGGTCTCAGGCTCTTGCAATCCAGTGCTGGGCTTGTACATATTGTCTAATGGAACATTCATTAGCTGCCACCCTTCCCTTGTCTGTCCTGTACCTAATAGCTAATATTTATATAGCAATTTTAGGCTTGGGAAATGCTTGACTTTTACAATAAGTGTGAAGTAGCTCTTCTCCCCATCTTACACATGAAGAAACTGAAATGAAGTTGTGACTTGTGTAGAAGCACACAGCTACCAAGTATCTGAGGCAGGTTTCAGTCTTAGGTTTTCCTGACTCCAGTTCTAGCACTCTACTGACTAGATCACCTAAAGGATATCATGGAATAATGGCTAGAGTTGTGGACTTGGAGTGAGGAGGATCAAAACTGGAATCATGACGCAGACCATGATGATACGCCCTGGACAAGGCACTTAGGAAAACTAAAATGGGGATGATAATAATGCACACCTCACAGGGCTGTTGTGAAGTTCAAATGAGATAACATATGAAATCCACTTTGCCAACCTCAAAGCACTCTTACAGATATAGCCATTATTCCACGGTATCCTTCAGGTGGTTCAGTCAATTGAGTGCTAGAATTATTTTTAAAATGCCATAAAGAATTACAGAATATCGGAGTCGCTCTTTTGGAGTCTCCTGGACAAGTGGTCATCTACTCTAGCTTCTTCATGAATATTTCCAGCGAAAGAAATATCATTGCCTGATAAAGTAGCCTACTCCATTTTTGAACAACTATTTGTTTGGTAGTTTATGGTGAGTTAAAATCTGCCTCCCTACAATTTACACCAGTCACTATAGAATGGGTTGTGGAGCTGACTGATTTAGATATTGGTGGAAATTGGTTTAATGGTCACTGAGAAGAATTTGAGTAAAAACACTCTACAAGAATGGTTGGGGAAACTTTTCGAATATGCTTTTCCATTCTAGAGGAACAGCAGATATTTCCCAGATGAAATTTCTAAGTAGAATCCAAAAGTGAGGCTGAGATGGAGCTAAATGAATTTATGGAAGAAAGTAGCTATTATTCACCTTCTCCCAAGAACCTATAAAAATCAAGTTCCTGGTTTATTGACAGCTATTGGGATTTTGACAATACTCTTCCTTTTTTTAATTTGAATTTTTAAAAGCTCCACTTCTAGAAAGTAGCATTATAAATCATTGTGACTTTTTTAGACAGATAAAGGTATAGAAGATAATTATCATTTCTTTAATGTAGAAAGGTTCAAGTTCTGTCACTCTTGTCTCTAAACATCAACAATGGGTTTTTGTTTAGACAAGTATTGTTCAGTCATTGCTGTATTTCATGATGTTTTTCATCCAAAATGGGTCTTATCTTCTCCTTCCCTCCCTCCCTAAACCCCCACCTCTTCCTAACTTCTCTGTTACTATAGAGGGCACCACCATCCTCCCATTCATCTAGGCTCTCAACTCCTCACTCTCTCACCTGCCCATATTCCATCAGTCATCACACTGTCAGTTTTGCCCTCTCATAGAACATCCCTTAACATCTCCTTTCACACGTGGTGTTAAACATTCTGTAATTCTTTTTTTTTTCTTTTGGCTAGGCAGTGGGGTTAAGTGACTTACCCAGGGTCACACAGGTAGTATGTGTTATGTGTCTGAGGCCAGATTTGAACTCAGGTCCTCCTGAATCCAGGGCCGGTGCTCTATCCACTGTTCCATCTAGCTGCCGCTGTAATTCTTCTTAATGGCACTCTTAAAATAATCCTAGCACTGTTGACTGAACCACCTAAAGTACTTGGGCCACTCTGGTGCAGGTCTTCACACCAGAACCATTGTGATAGCCTTCTGGTTGGTTTCACTGCCTCAAGTCTCTCCCAAATCCAGCCTACACTCCATTCAGCTATCATATTGATCTTCCTAAAGCATGGGTTTGACCATGTCACCAATCCCTTCCTCCTCCCCCAACTCAATACACTCCAGAAAACCCTCTCTTTGGCTTTTAAAGCCCTTTGTAACCTGGGCTATTCTTACATCTTATTTCCTTCCCCATGCTCTATGATCCAGTGACACTGGCCGCCTTATTGTTCTTTAAACAAGACACTCTCTTCTGACTGCATCTTCATTGGCTGTCCCCATGCCTCGAATTCTCTCCCTGTGGCCTCTACCTCCTGACTTTCAAATCCTAGCTAAGATCCAGTCTTCTACAAGAAGCCTTCCTAATCTCTGTTAATGCGAGTGCTGTCTGATTATTTCCAACATATCCTGGATATGTCTATTGGTATGTAATTGTTTGCATGTTTCCTCTCCTTTTAGACTGTGAACTTCTTGAGACCAGGGATTCTTTTACCTTACTTTATAGGGTAAAATGCCTGGCACATAGATGCTTAATAAATGCTTATTGACTTGCTTTAGTTTCTATTTTAGATAGAAACAGAAATGCCGGGGTATATATTGTGCCTGTGATCCTAGCTGTGTGACAAGCAAATTATCTAACCTCTTTGAGCCTCAGGCAACTTTCTCTATCTAATAAGTTATAAATGGGTTGTGGCATCTGAGTTGGTAGTTCCCATACCCAGGAAATCATAGATCTTTGTCAACTGACATTCAAAGTGGTGCCTCTGGAAAACATGGTAAGGCCTCAAACTATGAGAGACTTATTTTAGGTAGCCACAAATTAAGGTCTAGGCTCTTAAGACAGGTAAACATCTTCCTATGAGGCGTTAAAATTAAAGAACTGCCTCTCTCCTAAAGCACGATAGGATGTCCATGCCTGTTTTGTAAGAAGTGTCACCTGGTTACATTATGAAATATTTTCTGTAGCCAAATCTCCCACTACTAATTGTATTTATCCAGCCACATAATGTTCTCATTCTTCCTTCATAAACTTTGCTATTGTCAAGTGGATTTAAAGGCTTAAGTCCTGCAAAACTTGTATACATTCTCTACTGTTTACGTAGGATAAAAACACATAGGATCTCCCTACAATCCACAAATCCAAGAAGCAATTCCATCATCTCATCTGATTAAAAAACTGAGACTGGCTAGGAGGCAATTTTATTATTTTGGGGGATATGTTCTCTTGTTAACATGATTTTCTTCCAAAGTTTCTCAACAAACAGAAACTCTGTATACATTAGCTTGGTGATCAGATGTGGCTTTATTAGCCTCTTCTGATATATACCTTCAAGTATTACTATTTCTCTTTCCACTTCCAAGGAGTTCTGCTTGGTTTCAACCTCAGGGAATGCTCCCGCAGGATAAGCCAATACCTCCAATTTCATCATCATGAAGATTGGCTCAACTTTTGATACTCCACTTTCTGCCTCAGTTCCCTCTCCTCTCCAAATGAAGAGCCAGAGGGTGGAACAATAAGCTCTTCCCAAAGCCTTCCTTTATAGGGTGCTATAAGAAAGAACTCCCAGGTAACTCTCTGTTTCCCCCATTGGTTGTGTATGGTTTTGACTCCACAATCTGACCCACTCTGGTCTTCCCTCCCTTGTGTAGTTTTCTCCCATTAGATTGTAAACTCCTTAAGGGCAAGGATTTTTTTCCCCTGATTTTGTATTGCCTAGTAGAGTAGGCACTTAATAAATGTTTACTGAATAATGTTGCTTATGTAGCCTCAATTAACAGGATAACCTGATACCACAAAATTAAAAATAGAATAAACTTCTCTTTAATAAAGGTGGGATAAGAAAAATGCCTCCTCCTTCTACTCTTAAATTAGCTGTACAAGCCTTGTTCAAAGGCTGTTTGCAATACAGAGGAGAAATGAATGGTTACTGGCTGGACAGTTCTTTATTCTTATTGCACATAGTTTTTAGGATATAGCTGGAAGAGCTTGCCTTCTTGGGTGGGCTCAAAGCCATACTTTTCCAGGTTTTTAGGGTCGAAAGTTCCTTCTTTAAAGTCCTTTTCAATAGAAGGAGCTACAGCTTCCATAAAGAGCTGCTTGGCTGTCAGCGGTTCATCTGTGCCAGCTGGAGCTCGATAGGACACATACGGCTTGAGTTTGAAACCTGTCAAATCTGGAACCACAAACTCAGGGACCATTTCCTTCACCTTCACAAACTTCCCACCTGAAGAAAAGCCAGTAAACTTGGCTCCTCGACCTTTGTAGAAGGTTCGGGGGCCACGCTTGCTTGTCCATTTGCTCATTCTGTCTGCCCCTCGGACCAACCCTCGAGTCAGAGCTGAAAGGAGGCCCATACTTTGTATCTGTGAGGTGAGAGAGAAAAATCGAGGGTTAAATTCAGAACTGTTATTTAGCCTCCTGTCACCACACTGCATGGGGTGGTCACTTGCTTAGGCTGCTCTTTTGGGCAGTTAGGTAGTCATGCTGATTAAGCACATCCAGTCAATTCAATTCCCTCGGTATTTGTCGAGGGCTTCATACCCCTTCCCAGATGGCTACTGCCAGCTTCTGAGGAAGCAGCCTTGTTTGGACAGAATAAAAGAAAGCAGCAAGCACAGTGCAGATAAAGTCCGTTCACTCGACAAATATTTATCAAGTGTCTACCTACTACGTGCAGAGCCCTAGACCAGGGCAGGGAAGGGTCCCTGCCTTTAAATAATTAGTGCACTTAGCACAGTTCCTGCCACACTTATTGTGCCCGATTCTTCGTGACCCCATTTGCCCGTTCCTTGGCAAAGATACTGGAGTGGTTCGCCATTTCCTCTCCAGCTCATTTTACCGATGAGGAAAAGTGTGGCACACGGGGTTACGTGATTTACCTAGGGTCACACAGCTAATAAATGTCTGAGGCCGGATTTGAACTTACGAAGACGAGTCTTCCTGACTCCAAGCTCGGCACTCTTATCTACTGCTGGCCCTTCGGCCTAGCCGGCACACACCAGGAACTTAATTGATTGATAGGGGCTAATGAAGACCCAGCCACAGCACAGGAATCACGAGACGAGTGCCCCGGAGGAGCGCCGGCGAACGTCGCTGGGGGCGCTGCAGCGCTGCTCCCGCCGCATCCGCCCTCCGCAGGTCAGCCAGAGGCCGAGAGCCTTCTAACCCCGAAGCTCCGCGCCCTGCCCCGGACTCCCTGCCCCCCAGTGTTGTCCTTCGCCGTCCGCATCGCAGCCCAGAAGGCAGAGACCCACAAGCTCAGCGGCCCGCACTCCCGCGCTCCCTCACCTCGGCCGCTCACGCTCCAGCCGCCCGGACCTCCGACGTCGGAACAAAACCCGCTCCGATTGGTCGCAGGGGCCTCAACCAATGCGGAGCCTCGTCTGTCAGAGGGGGCGAGGCCCAGCGAAGAGAGCGGATGTCGTGGGAAGAAGAGAAATCCCGGCTCCGGAGTCGGAGCGGGAGCGGCTGAGGCGGGGCGATGGCCGCCGCCTTGCTGGCCGGTGAGTGGGGGCCCATGCCGAGTGACCACTGACGTCGTCCTCCGGCCACGCCCCTCGGGGAGACGAGGCCAGAGACGAGGCTGGGCCCCCGAGTGAGCCGGAACCGGGAGCTCAGAGCCACAGTTACTTAGGAAGGCCCTCCCCGCGTGCCCTCCCCGTGCCCTCCCCGTCGGTGTCCCTCCTAACTTCCCCCAGAGCTCCCTCCTTCCTCCCCGCTGACTCCTGCTGTCCCTCCGCTTCCCCCCCGCGTGACATCGCCCACTGCCCCTCCCCCTCCCCCAGGACTCCCCCACCGTCCGTCCCCCTGGTCACATTTCCTCCTGCATCTCCCCCAGTGACACTTTCCACTTTTCCCCGAGTTCTCGTGTTTCCCGATCTTTTTCCGCAGTGACATTGCAGCTGGCCCCCCCCCCCATTCCGTCTTATGTCTTGCCCCAAGGCTATTCCCTACCAGCTCCCACCCTCCACCCCGGACACTCTACTGCTCCCAGTGAGGTTTCCCACGGTTCCCCTCTCTGCTCCCACACCCCGTATCTTCATCGTTCTTTTCTGAGACATTCCCCACTTTCCCCAACTCTGCCCCGCCCTCCGCAGCAACACCTCCCCAATGTCCCCCAGTGACACTGTCCACCCTGCCCAAGTTTCTCTGTCGAGCTCCTGGTGACGCTTCCCACAATCCATCTTCATAATAATTTCACTCCCTTATTTTCCCTCATACAAATCCCCCACTGCTCCCCAGCTGCCCTGCACCTACTTCTCCACCCAGTGATATTCTTCATTGCTCCCTCCCCCCATAATTTCCCCCCACCCGAATTCTTTGACTGCTCTCCTTCCTTCTGTATATTCCAGGAGTGATTTCACAATCAATCTTTTCCCTTTGTTAACTGACACTGGTGAGCTTATGGTACTCTTGGCACATAGCCTAATATTCCGAGGCCAACCAATGGGGGTTTGGTTGAGGCTTCCCAAAGCGAAGGCAGTAGACAGGCATCGAACCCCAACTCTGGGGTGGAGAATACTGTCAGGGTGGTGACTAAGCCTTAAATCTTTGGGTTGTGGCCCAGGTTAGATGACTTGCATATGTAGGTCAGCTAGTTCCCCTGTATGCCAAACCCGGTAAACAGTTCTCAGAAGAAGCAGTACATTCTCTGTGTTCCTCTTAAAATGCTTCTTCCTTTTCCATTCCCCTCCAGTTTCGACTCCTCTTCCCCCTGCAGATCCTGGGAAATGCCAAAATAGAGTCTGGAACATTTGAAATTGAGGTAGGACTGCAGCTGTAGCTGTAGCAATGGCTGTAACAAGTTTCTAGAGAGAAAGGAAGCCCTTTTCTTCTTGGCTACTCCTTACAGCAGCCCGTCGCTGCTTGGCTCTCTGTTGTGGGAACTTTTGGCTGGAGAGCGTATTAGCCATGTGACTGTTGTTTACAGATTGAGACTTTGGAACAAGCAGATGCTTCCGAGGGGACGGCTTCTTTTTATGGGAATGGAGCCTTCAAAGAGTAATTTGCCTGTCAACGGAAAACTTAGTTTGACTTAGAAACTGGACATGTAAACAGAGCTAAAAATTGTGACTGTGCTGAGTTAAACATTAGTTATTTGAGTAGTTGATCTTTGGCAGAACCAGGCTGTACTTTCTTCATTCCATTTTGTTTGTTTTATTTTTAGCTATGGAGAAGGAATTGAATAAATCCTACCAAAGGTATGTATACTAGGAACTCAGCAATAATGGTAATGGTAATAATAATAATAATTTACCTTTGAATTATTAAAGGCATTTTAAGATTTATAAAGTGCTTTCTTTTCAACCACCCAAAGTAAGTAGTACAAGTATTTTTCTCATTTTAACATGAGAAAACCGGGGCTCACAAAGGGGAAGTGACAAGCCTAGGGGTTGACAAGTCAGATCCTTAATATTTCTTTTCTCAGGTCATTTCTGGAAAGGACTTTTCTGTTAGGGTTTACTTTCTTGAAATCTCATTCTTTTGGGGTCATGCTCTGTGTGTGTGTGTGTGTGTGTGTGTGTGTGTGTGTGTGTGTGTGTGTAGTATCTGTGTGTTGGCCTGTAAAAGGTGGAGCAAAACCTGTTTTTATGCTTCATGTACTATGTGCAACTAGGAGCTTTCTGAGGTTCACTTTACCCTAAACCTTTACCCTTCAATATGTGTGTGAATCACTTAACCTGTTTGGATTTTAGTTTTCTCTTCTGTAAAGTGAGGGGATAGGGCTCTAGTGATCTCTAATGTTCCTGTTAATTCTAAATCTAAGATTCCAGCCTCTGGCCTGTCCAACAGTGAGTTATTAGGGGTTGGGGCACAGTCAGGATTGTTCATTAAAGCAGAGACAGTGACAGTGAATACCTTCTTTGCAGCCCTGTCAGATCTATCCTTGAGACTGCTGGGCAATTGTAGCCACCACAGGGTGGAGGGAATTGCCTCATCTTGTAAGTTAAAGCCTGTGACATCTCAGTCCTGAATTCTGCATTTGTTCCAGGCTTGGGTTTTAGACTCTTCCATATTCATCTTGATGATAATGTTTTTTATGTTTTCTAGGGACTCTCCCTAGTGCTCTTGGGATACTAACACAAAACGACCATGTGATCCTGAGCAAGTCACTTAACCTTTTAATGCCCCAAGCAACTCTTTGAGATTGTTAATTGCTGAGAAGGTGCTGACCTGCATTGCTAGAGCCCTCACCTAGGAGTTCTCTATTCCCAGTGAAGACGCAGATCTAGTCCCTGTTCCAGCCAGGGTGTTACGCCCTGCAATGCTCCTTGTTCTTCCCAAGTCTGTATGGCACTAAGTCCTTCCCAGAATCTCTTTTTGGCTTTTTGATGGATGAGTGAGCTGTGAAAGTATTAGGGTGAAGGGAAACAGGAATTGTCTGTGGCAGCTAAAAGGAACCCCGAACTTGTTCAACTGAGATACTTGAAAGGACTAGCAAGTTCCTACTTCCTGTCATTCTTCACCCTAACACCTGCTGCCTTTTGTCTCTAACTTGTGTTTTTGGGGGGTAGATAATAATAATAACAGCTAACATTTATATAGCGTTTAATCTGTGTCAGACTTTGTGCTAAGAGCTTTATAATTATTTTCTCATTTATCTCAATTATTATCTCATTCCAACAACCCTGGGAGGTAGGTGCTGTTATTATCTCCTTTTTACAGTGGGGAAACTGAGGCAGCCAGCACTTGCCTTTAAATATTAAGACAGAGTTTGAAATAGGGTAAATGAAGAGGAAGGAGCCCAGGCATTATGTGTATTGTGCATGCTTACCTGAGACCTGAAGATTTTCCATACGGTTTTACTTTTCTGGCTTCCTGGTCCTCTGATCCTTCTACTTCTGGAAACTCAGTGTTACCTTCAATATTTTCTAATTAGCTTTGTGCCCAGCTATCACTATGTGTCTAGTACTGTCTTTTTATACTTTCTAAAAATTCTAGGCTTCTGCCTTGTAACTTCAGCTTCATTTCCTGGATACCAGAGAGTAACAAATACCTATAGTATTTCTCTATTTCCAGCTATTTTTTGTTTGGCTTGTTAATTGGTATTTAATATTCTCAGAATCCAGATGGCTTACTCCGGTTTTCCGAAGAGTCCTACAAAAGGTTGCCATATCCCACCCCTTGGTTTAAAATGTAATATGACTTGTATTTATGTACTGTTACATTTTCAAAATTCATTAATCAACTATCTTTATGATTATCATAAATCACTTTATGATTCAGTGGATATATTATGACTTTTTAAGGGAGGAGCCAAGGCACAAAAAGGGCATAAGTAACAACCCAAAGTCACGTTGTAGGCCAGGAATAAGGACCCAGAGTTTCTGATTAACTCATATTCATTTCATTATGCTACTTAGTGATTAGGTGGCTAGAGGTAGGAATTTAGAGCAGGGACTTTGCTATAGCGTTTTTCCTGGTGACTTCTATTTTCTCTTATGTGAGGTCTCTAACTCTGACTCACCACTTTGAATGCCCCATTGGTTAGTCTTTGATATTGGAATTTACTTGTGGTTAGTCTCAAGAAAGAAATAATATAAATATGAGATTTTGTTTGCCTGTTTCCGGATTAACCAAATTATACCGTGAACCTGAAATCATTTGTCCCATTCCTACAACTTTTTCCTGCTCTAGCCCAGGTCTGGCTTCTGATTGTAAATAAGATGTTCAAATTCTTCTGGATTTTCCTTTCCTCTACTTAACCTTGTAGTCTAACAGGGCATTTTCCATTAGATGTTCATTGGAAGCCAAACCTAGGTGTCTGAAACCATAGATACTTTATATATTTAGGAGGCACAAATATCCGTTCTGAATAGAAGGAAGGCTGCTTAAATCCTGCCTCTATATGAAATGGGATTTTAGTAGTTTAAAGCATTAAAATAGTTGGCATGAGGGTGTAGTGTCCAATCCAGAAAAATTAGGAAAAAAAATACTAGGCAATAATTTAAATATTCTTGAAGCTAAGTACTTACTGTGTACATTGAGGGTGATAGAAATTGTACATTTCCTCTTGGAACTTGTGTTATCCTCAAGTAGAGGGGATAAGAAAGAAATACAAGTAAGTATAATATATAGTGTTACATGATAAATGCACTAGAGAGGTACTATATGAAGTATGAGAACTATATGTGTGTTTAAATTGTTCATGTCATTGACTTATGAAAACCTCATTCTCACTGGCTTCTAATGCTGCTCTCATTTCCTCCTGCCATCTGATAAGCAAGAAGATTTCTGCTGAGGTATGTAAATGGGAGGGCAGGTGTCTTAGATTATTCTCT